CCCCCCCCCCCCACTCTGTCCTTGCTCTGAAGAAATGAGCAGCAGGATGAGGGCCCAGATTTAGGAGTCAGGGACTCCTGGGGGCCAGTCCCAACTCTGCTACTGGCTCCCTGTGGGGCCTTTGCTGAGTCACCCACCTTCCTTCCCCATCTGCAAAATAGGGTTAATAAATCTCCGCTCGGACTTGGGGGCTTTTCCAGCGTCCCTTCCCTCCCCCCGTGCCTAGAGGTGCCAGGACACCGGTGTTCCCTGAGCGCTGGGCATGGCCCAGCCATTGTGCAGCTGCTCAGGGGAGATTCCAATGCTGCCCAGCTGATTAGCAGCGCCCTCAGCCAGCTGTGTGTTTCTAGTAGTGGTGCACGTCCACACATGCCTCGGTGCACATGGAAAAATTCATTCTGCACCTGGATGGAAAAGCTTAGAGGGAACCTTGTGGGACAGATGAGTCCTTTAGATGCTCGGACCAGACAGGATTAGGGGTCAGCCCAGGAGCAGATTTGGAGACAGGCAATCGAGGCCCAAAGCCTGGAATCTGCACCTTGTATCTGAACACTGTGGCTGTGTCTAGACTGGCAAGTTTTTCCGCAAAATCATCTGCTTTTGCGGAAAAACTTGCCAGCTGTCTACACTGGCCACTTGAATTTCTGCAAAAGCACTGACAATCTCATGTAAGATTGTCAGTGCTTGTGCGGAAATACTATGCTGCTCCCGTTCGGGCAAAAGTCTTTTTCCAAAAAACTTTTGCACAAAAGGGCCAGTGTAGACAGCAGAGATTTGTTTTCCGCAAAAAAGCCCCAATCGTGAAAATGGCGATCAGGCTTTTTTGCGGAAAAGATTGGCCATGGACACTTTTCCACAAAAAGTGCTTTTGCGGAAAAGTATCCTGCCGATCTAGACGCGCTTTTCTGAAAATTCTTTTAACGGAAAACTTTTCCGTTAAAAGCACTTCCGGAAAATCATGCCACTGTAGACGTAGCCTCACTGTGCTGGGGGTCCCATTGAATTCATGGACGCCTGGGCCTGTGCCATGCATTCCAAGGACGCCTGGGCCTGTGCCATGCATTCCAAGCGGTGGGGGGGAGCGTAACATCCCCTCCAAACACTCCAGCTAATCCGAGTGCTTCACAAAACTCAACAGCCCTCCAAGGGCCCGGCCTCAGCACTCAAGGACCCGCCAAGTGCCTTAAGTGGCTCGCTCGTGCAGATGGCAGCGCAGGGTGGGAAGCAAAGCACGTGCTGCCTTTGGCTCCGGTCAGGCAGGAATCCCCCGAGAAGGGCAGGGGCTGCTGTGGCGGGAGGAGGTCTCACTGGGCTCGCTCGGGGAAATACCACCCAGCTGGCAGGAGGGCACAAAGAACAGGGCTTGGTTTAACGATGTAGTGCTGCTAAAAAGGGGCCAGCGACGGGTGCAGCGAGCGTGCTTCCCCCACCCGCTCTCTGCCCCCTGCGGCGTTGGGAGGGGGAGATTCTGCGCAGCACCCAAAGGGCTCAGGGCCCATCCTGCATCAGTGGTTTACAGCCAGCCATGTCACTGACGGCTTGTGAAGTGGGCTCACACGGGGAGCACAGACAGGACCTGGGGCGCATTAATGGCAGGTTGCGGGTGAGATGGCCCCTGGGTCACACCAGCTTTGAAACCAGGCTCCAAAACTGACCCTAGCAATTTGTCATACCTGGCAGGGGGCAGTCTTACCTAGTGGCCAGAGCAGGAGTCAGGGGCCAAGATGGGCCACAGGGCAAACAGCGAGTCCAGTGTCAGGAGGCCAGGCCGGGGCGCATCACCAGGCAGCCAAGCGGCAGGAGCAGGAGAAGCAGGAAAACCACTTCAGTGCCAGGCAAACAGGTAGAAGCCAGAGTACAGCTCAGAGCCCCGGCGTAGGGGGAAGAGGCAACAGGGCTCTGGAAAGAAAAATCAGGCCTCACCCCCGTACCAGGATTCCTGGAGGGCGTCAAAGCACATGGGCAGGGGGAGCCAGTGCACTTGGACTCAGGGCTGTCCCTAGTCAGGGGGCAGGGCCTGGGACAATTCCCCCTCCATCCCAGGCCCTGACCGTCCCCCCGCCTCTTCCTGCCCCTGCACGTGCGAGCCGTGCGCTGTCAAGAAAGCAAACAGCATGTTAGCAGCCCTGGGGAAAGAACTAGAGAACGAGACAGAAAATATCCTTGTCCCAGTGTATAAACCCTGACACCCTACACCCTGATTTCCTGCGTGCAGCTCTGGGCTCCCCATTTTCAAAAGCAAAAGGTCCAGAGAAGGGCACCAGAAACGAGCAGGGAAGTAGAGCAGCTTCCATAGAAAGGTTGGGTCTATTCAGCTCAGAAAGGAATGACATTGTGAATGGCCTGGGGAAAGTCAATAGAGACGTGCATGACGCAAGAACTAGCGGTCATGCAATGCAATGAATAGGCAGCAGGTTAAGTGAACAAAAGGCAGTATTCACACAGCGCACAGTCAATCTGTGGAACTCCCTGCCAGGGGATGTTGTAAAGGCCAAATGTATGACTAGCTGCACAAAAGAACTAGGGCAGCTCCGAGGACAGATCCATCAATGGCTACTAGCCAAGATGTCTAGGGACTCAGCCCCATGCTTTGGGTGTCCCCAAACCTCTGACTGCAGCGACAAAACTCGCTGGGACAGGGCGAGAGAGGCCCGGTTCTGCTGGATCTCTGGCGCACAGGGTACTGGGCTAGATGGACCATTGGCCTGGCCCCGTCTGGCCAGTCTCATGTCTAATATGGAAGGGAAAGTCACGTGTTCTTGTGCTGAATCAGCCTAGAGCTGTTCTCAGCTGCCTCCAGTCTCTTCCAAGTATTGCATTAGGCCAGTGAGATTGTCATTACCCCCAGCGTGGCAGAAGGATGCCTTGGGGAGGGGTGGATTCAGACTAAACGTGGGCTGGGTGAGTCCACAGAATCCTCCACAGGAATCTCTCAGGGCTCCCAGACCGGCCTTCCACCCTCCCTTCTCCAGCTTGCCAGCAAGATGGCTGGGGCCAAGGAAGACCCAATCCTGTGGGATTCTGGGCACCTCCAGCGATGCTCAGAGCATCCTGCCCTCCCCTTGAAGCCTCTGAAAACTGAAGGCACCCAGCATGTTGCAGAACTGGACTCCAAATGAGCCCATCTGTGGTCCGGATGAACCCAGATCAGTCACATCCCTGAGGGACCCAGGAGCCCTTCAACCTCACCCACCCCTTCCCCTTTCATCTCCCGTGTCACGTTACTGGATCTTGAGGGGAGCAGCCAGATCACTGATGCACCCATAGGTGGGGGTGTTGGCCCCAAGAATGGTATAGATGGGGGCCATGTGAGGTATTGAATAGAAGCTTACTGTCTGCTGATCCTGTGTACGCTATTTATGTGAGTGTATAATGTCTGTGTGTGTAGGTAGGAATCTGTAATCTGTGTGGAAGCTGAATATTTCTCTGAATGTGGTTGAGCAGTGGGCAGAGCCTGGCCTGTGGACATGCTAATTAGCGAGGCCCTGTGGACAATGGCTCTCAATGGGCCAAGGACACACCTAAAGCAGGAGGGCGGCCTAAGAGCTGCAGCAGAGAGGTTGACGGCCAGGTGACCGGCTGCGGCCAAGGAGAGGCCAGGAAGGATGTATAAAGAGGCCATGTGGAGGACTCCATAGTGTTCTCAGCTCAGCACTTCATCGCAGAGGCAGCATTGCAGGGATCGAAGAGCCGGAAAGACCTGTGGACCCATCCTGATCCTGGGATGCGCAACAAGAACTTTTAAACCAGCAGCTGTAACATCTCTGCGAGAGCCTGCATCGAGAACTGGGAGATTCGGTGCATGTAATGTATGATTCTTTACCAACCTCACTCTCAGGCTTTTCTTTCTTGTGATAATAAACCTTTATTTGTTAGATGCTAAAGGGTTGGCCCAGCGTGGTTTGTTGGTAGGGTCCAAAGGGTAAATTGACCAGGGATCTGTGGCTGGTTTCTTGGAACCGGACAGAACTTGTTCGGGGTAGGTGTGATTGGGTGCTAGGACCCCCCAGCTGTGTATGAGGCCCGGGGCCATCTGGGGCACGGATATTGCTGGGGTGTCAGAGGGGTTTTGCTCTGTGGGACTGGTTTGTGGCCTGTTCAGAAAGGTCTCCAGTCTGGGGGCTGTAAGGAGCCCGGGATTTGAGCAATTCGCCCTGAGCGGACGCCCTCAGCTGTGCCCAGACACGGCCCAGTCCGTCACATCCCGTACAAGCTATTTTGATCAGCAAAAAGCCCCTCCCCCCCAACACCTCCTGCAAGCGAGCCGCCGCTCCGGGGTAGAACAAACCTGGGTGATTTATGAGGTGTCTTCGCACGTTGTACCGCATGACAGCGGAACCAGCCTAACGAGCCGCAGACCTTTCACACAAGCAGCGGGACGGAGGTTCGTGCTCTCTCTCTGGTGTCACGCGAAGATGCTCAGCCTAATTGGCAGCCAGCAGCCAGGAGACGTCTCCGGGGGAAGGATTCAGCTCAGCACCAGGTGCCATTGGTTTGGCAAAGGGTAAATTTGCTGGAAAATGCTTTTAAACCGACCTGTGAGGCCAGCGACCGGCGTCGGCTGAAAAGCAAATGGAGACGGCTTTCCGAAAGAGGAACCAGTTCATTTCAAAATACCGGTTTGACTAGGGTTGGAGCTACCTCTAGATTGCAAAAACTAAAAGGGTGAAACCAGCCCAACAAACCCCAAGCTAATGGAACCTCCAGTAAAAAAAACTGTTTTCTTTTGGGCCTTGTGCCCCAGACAGACAGTCAGTGGATGGTGCCTGGATCCCCTCAGAGATTCAGTGCTAGCCCCACAGGTCAGCCCCAACGACAGAAGACTCTCAGAGCTACAAATGCCCGAGTTATGAACTGACCAGTCAAGCCTGCGCCCAGAACTACACAAGCAGGCGGCAGCGGAGACACCCAAAAACCTCAAATCCAGCACAGTCCGGTTGAACCTCTCTAGTGGGCACCCTGGGGCTCTAACCGGCACCGAACCAGAGAATGTGCCCGACCACAGGAGGTTAATATTGTCTAGCAGCATCCCCAGCACTTCCACTGCTTACTGGGCTCGGAGGAGACATTTTGGGTAAATTGGAGCTAAACAAGAGCACAGAGCACTGAGAGCCAGGGCTGGTGGCTGTAAACAAACTTTATGGGACTGAGGGAAACTTGGCCATGCCCATGATAAGTGGCCATCTGGCAAACTCAGATCCTGCCGGACCACGGATGTTGCCGGACCAGAGAGGTTCAACCTGTACTGTGTTAAATATCAACTACTAAAAACTAGAGGGAAAGCAGCATTTTTCTTCTGCACAGGAAAAGCAAACAAAGCTTCCCCATGGAGGATCAGAAATGGGGGGCCCAGCACTTTGACTGAGGAGGGGTGACCCCTGCGAGACCCGTCAGCGGTTTGGAGACATGGGCCTGGCAGCCCATATACAGGCCCAGTCCTTGGGGGCAGCCAAACGACACCAAATGAAACTAATGGGCAGCAGGTTTAAAACAAATAAAAGGAAGCTCTTCTTCACACAGCGCACAGTTAATCTGTGGAACTCCTTGCCTGAGGAGGTTGTGAAGGCTAGGACTAGAACAGGGTTTAAAAGAGAACTAGATAAATTCATGGAGGTTAAGTCCGTAAATGGCTATTAGCCAGGCTGGGTAAGGAATGGTGTCCCCAGCCTCTGTGTGTCAGAGGGTAGAGATGGATGGCAGGAGAGAGATCGCTTGATCATTACCTGTTCGGTTCACTCCCTCTGGGGCACCTGGCATTGGCCACTGTCGGCAGACCCAGTCTGGCCATTCTTACGTTCTTAGGAGGTAAACTGAGGTAGTCGCCTCAGGTGCCAGACTGGGGAGGGGGGATGCCATTGGGACCCAGAGGGTAGAAAATTGTGTCTGCTGCTGGTGGAGATGTATTCTCTCTGTTCTAGATGCACAGAGATGGTGGAGAAGAGTAGGACAGGAAGGCGGCAGAATTGAGACCTTTCAAAGTTTTGGCCCCAGCGAGGGGGCATGGGGGCGTCATTTGAGCTCCCCGCCTCAGGTGCCAAAATGTTGCGGGCCGGCCCTGGGGGCAGCATGTGGGAGGTAGATCAGCAGGGGCAAATCTCTTACCGCAGCTGCAGGTAAGTCCCAAATCCAGTCTATGGGGAATGTAACTTGGCCCCAACAGATCCAGGGAATGGGGAAGCTGTCCAGCTGAGCACTGGAACAGCCTTTTTAAGCTGAGCGTCCGGCTAGCGGCACGGGGGGCTCCGGATTCTGCCTCTCCATGGGGAAAGAAGCTCTGTTTTCAGGGCCTGAGGCTTGTCCTGGGAAGCCTTGAAACTCAAACCCAGCTCGCGACCTTTTCCCCTGCCCCAGAACATTTGAAATGTCGCCAGAGAAGCTAGTTGGGGCCAGGGAGCCCCACAACACAAGTGGGGGCACCTAAGCAATTGTGCACAGTCCCCTGCCGGAAGGAGCCGCTTGCCTTCGTCCTCTTGAGCCAGCATATGGAGATCCTATTCAGAGCAGGACTCGGTCTGGAGCCTGGGCAGCCGGCTAGCGAGTGGCTGCATAAACGGACTCAGTGTCACTCAGTGAAACAACTCGTCTCCCAGCGACTCCCTGCCCGGGAAGCTGCGTGGAAAAGCAGCTCTGGATGGATGCTCCAGCCGTGGCCCGTGGCTGTGGAGTGATTCCCACGGGGCGGGGCTGATGGCTGGTTGGAACCCTACAGGCACTGGGAACAGACGCCAAGGACCAGCCAGCCTGAGTCGATCTTTCAGCCACTAAAACGATGGCTTAGGAGTGAGAAAACAGCAGTATCCTCAGCTAGTATCAGAGCCCGGAATTTAGCCCTAATGTAACATGGGGCAGGGGGGTGCTTACCAATAACAAGGCAGCTGGTAAGTATCCAACCAAGTAGCTGGTGTGCAAAAGACAGAGGAGGAGAGTGAGTTGGTGATACGACCCCTTGGGTTGATTTCTTACCAATTCTTTTTATTTAACTGAAAAAAATCCCACGTTTTACAAAAGCAATTATTTGGGGTTTTTTACTGGGGGGTTTTCAACCTGAAGTTTGGACCACACAAGCACGTGAACACACTTCTTATGTTCATTCAATCCATTACATTGGGCAGACTAATTGAATTATTAACCTAAACACATCCAAGTGTGAGCGTTACTCTGTTAAAGCAAAGCAATGTAGTGGCAGAGTCAAGCGGAGTGCCCCAAGGATCGCTTCTAGGGCCGGTTTGTTCAACATCTTTATTGACCTGGCTGAGGGGATGGATTGCACCCTCAGCAAGTTTGCGGATGACACTAAGCTGGGGGAGAGGTAGATACGCTGGAGGGTAGGGATCGGGTCCAGAGTGACCTAGAGAAATTGGAGGATTGGGCCCAGAGAAATCTGCTGAAGTTCAGCAAGGACAAGTGCAGAATCCTGCACTTGGAATGGAAGAATCCCAAGCACTGTTACAGGCTGGGGACCAACTAGCAGTTCAGCAGAAAAGGACCCGGGGGTGGCAGTGGCTGAGAAGCTGGATATGAGTCAACAGCAGGTCCTTGTAGCCAAGAAGGCTAATGGCATATTGGGGTGCATGAGGAGGAGCATTGCCAGCAGATCCAGAGACGTGATTATTCCTCTTTACTCGGCACTGGTGAGGCTACATCTGAAGTATTGTGTCCAGTTCTGGGCCCCCAATTACAGGAAGGATGTGGATGGCAGGGGGCTGGACCACGTGGCCTACAAGGAGAGACTGAGGGATTTGGGATTGTTTAGTCTGCAGAAGAGCAGAGCGAGGGGGGATTTGAGAGCAACCTTCAACTTCCTGAAGGGAGGTTCCAAAGAGGCTGGCTGTTCTCAGGAGTGCAAATGACAGAACAAGGAGCAATGGGCTCAAGTTGCAGTGGGGGAGGGCTAGGTTGGATATTAGGAAAAACGATTTCCGTGGGCAGGCGGGGAAGCGCTGGGCTGGGTTCCCTAGGGAGGGGGTGGAGTCTCCAACCCTAGAGGTGTTTAAGTCCTGGCTTGGCAAAACCCTGGCTGGGCTGATTGAGTTGGGCTGGTCCTGCCTTGGGCAGGGGGCTGGACTGGATGACTCCTGAGGGCTCTCCAGCCCTGGGATTCTCTAACTCTAGGCGTGCTGCGTTTGTTCTATACTGCGGTGCTGCCGTGATAGAAAGCACAACCTTAACTAGCTTCCACATTCAGTCTTCTTGCTTTGTCCACTTGTTTTTATGTCTGTCTTCCATCCCTCCCTAGTCGCCCTGGTATTTACCCAGACAATGTTGATGGTTTTTTGCACAGATCGTCACCTGTTTTTAATATTTGTAATGAGCACGGATACATTCCTGGGAAGTGGTCAGGGACAAGTTGAGCGATACATTCCCCGGAAGCCCCAGGGACAAGCTGAGCAGCAGACAGGCCCGCGGGCCATGCCCTGGGGCCAGTATTGCCTGTTTGCACTTAATTATGAATTTTGAGATATTTGGTGCAGTTCTTAAAACCTTGGCTCCTGGAGTTGAGAGGAGGGGAGACTTGCAGCCATTTTCGTTTTTACAGAGGAGGAGAATTGCCCTTGTCTGCAAGCTTTTCTCGGCTGCCCATAAACCTGAAAGGCCACAATTCTGGAAGATAAATTCAACCACCCCAAAGTTCCCATTTTGAAATCTCATGATTTTGAGAGGGGTCCAACTCCTGATTTCTGTGTCCTTGGGGGGATGCCAGGTTCAGACAGAGGAAGAACAATGGGTTAATTCAGATGGAATCTGCCATTCAAAGCTTGCCAGGTGCTCAGACTCTATAGCGAAGGGCACCAGGCTATGCATGGCAGACTGCTAGAAGGCCGTGTAGGGGGACAGACAGACACTGGGGAACAAAACTCAAGAGGAAGCTGGGAAGAGTGGGGTAGGAAGGGAGACTCTGGCCCAGCCAGGGGCTAATCAGCCTCTCCCAGCTGTTTGCCACATGTCAGGGGTGCAATGTTGCTGGCCTGAGTCCCCAGCCAGCTGGACAGAACAGCTCAGAGGCGGAGCCAGCCCAGTCATCTCAGTGGGGTGTTAACTCTGCCTTGCTACTAGTGGGATTAACCATTTAACTGCTGCTAATTTTAGTAAATTATACAGGTAATGTGCTTAGCCCATCTTCCCAGCTGGACTCTCATGCTTCCCCAGCTGCCAAAGATGCCAGCAGCCCTACCCCAGCATCCAGCATCAAAACCCCCCTCCCTGCACAAGTACTGATGCGCCCCTCTGGCCTGGTGCTACAAAGCCCTTTGTCAGATCAAAACTGAAGATGTGCAGAGACATAAAATAAATTGAATTGAACAGCAAAGTGCTCCCGAGGCTGCTGTACCAATTGCATGAGTCAGGTCCCTGTTTAACTCCATTTTATGCGTTGAATTAAGACTGCCGCAGGATTTCCTGCCTGTCTCATTAGGGGCTCTGCCGAATCCGGGGACGCTGCTGAAGGATTTAAGTACAGCTGGCCCCGGTGCATAGCCAAGGAATTCGTGGATCCTCTTGTCTGGCCACCGGCACAACACAAGCTGTGGACTAAGCATGCCAGAGCCTCTGCTGGGAGTCAGAACTGGGCTAATGTCTCGGGGCAGCTGTGACGTAGTGGGGGTACCTGGCTGGTTTCTATGCTGCGGGCTCTGGGGTAACCCCCACTGGCTGCCGTGGGTACCACGACCCAGCAAAACAGGATGAGTCACTATGCAAACCAGTGGCCAGACACCCCCCATGGAGAGGAACAAAGGAAGGTGGAATGCTGCCCTGGCTGGGGGGCAGGGCTGGGAGAGGTAGAGTTAGTTCCTGGCTGGAAGGCAGGGAAGAAGGAGCTGGGGAGGGGGGCTGGGACTCCCCTATCTCAAGGGGGGGTACTGAGGCCTCTTAGCCCCAGTTCCTGTAACCAGATTACATCTGTGCTGCGCTGTGCTGGAGGAACAATAAACAACCTCCATTCTACTGGCTGGTGAAGTCTGTTCATGCCAATTCGGGGGTGCAGGAGACGGGAAAATCCCGACGCGCCGTCACAGCAGCTCGCCTCCCCATGGCACCGCCGTCACTTTCTGAGTTAAACAAGGAGCCCTGGGCAGCTTGCAGGCAAACCGATTTACCTGCCTCTGCCACGTCCACTCCGTGCACCTGGCCAAGTGGGTCTTTGCCCACGTAAGGCTGGCACCAGCCCCCTCGCTGATTTTGTGGACACAGATTGACACCCCCTGTTTCTGGCATTACTTCATCAGCTTGTAGGGCCTGATCCAAAGCCTTCCATTGACTTCGCTGAGCTGTGGATCAGACCGTTAGTGCTTCTGCTCCTACGCTGGCGCCTTTGCTGGCCTGGGGTCTGTACAGAATCAGACACTGGAACGGGAAGGGACCTCGAGAGGCCAGGTCCAGCCCCCTGCCCCCATGGCAGGACAAAGCACCATCTAGACCACAGGTGGGCAGTAATTTTGGATGGGTGGGGGCTGTTGTGCTCCCCCCTGTTGAGCCCCTGGGGCTTTCAAAATGCTTCCCCAGACCCGCATGTATAGTACTTTGGCTGTTGTCCTAAACCCACGGGCCTCTCACTGGGGCAGTGCGGCCTAGTGGCCAGAGTCAATAGCACGTGCTCCCCCTCGCTGGGCCAATAGCAACAGGTTCAGGCCCCATGGGGCCCCGGGCCCCCCTACTCCACCGGGTCCCAGCCCAGGTAGCAGTGGCACAGTCCACTGCTCGCTCAGCGGGGAATCCATCCGCAACCCACTGAGCACTCGGGATCCCATCTCCCGCCCCGGGCTGCTTCCTACCAGCCTCCTCCGGACGCCTTCCAGGGTCCCTCCTCCAGCTCCCTGGCAGCACCGCGGGCGTCTCGCTGGCTGCTCTCCAGGTCTGGTCCCTCTGGTGGTTCTCCTCCAGCAGCCCTGGCTGGGCCTCCTTCCTCCCCGCCAGCCGGCCCAAACCGAGCCTCTGGCCAGGCCTTTATACCTGGGCTGCCGTCCGAGCCTGGAGGGATTTCCTCAGCCAGCTGAGCCCAGTTAGGCCTGGCTTCCCCAGGACGGGGCCAACTCACGGCTTTGGTAAGTGGCCAAGGGCTGCACTTCTGCACGGAGGGGGTGCAGGTCTGGGATGGAGGCGGGCTGCCGAAGGGAGCTCAGAGTAGGTGCCAGGGCTGCAGGCAAGGGTGTGAGGTTTGAGGGGGAGCTTGGGTGATGGAGAGGGTTGTGACTCAGGGCTGGGGATTGGGGTGCAGGGTCCAGGAGGGGCAGGCGAGGATTCTGGCCTGAGGGAGGGATGTAGGAGGGGGAGGCTTAGCACGCTGCCCCGCCCTCAGCAGAATCTCAGATTCCATTGGCTGGAACTGGCCAAATGGGAACAGAGGTTGAGCGGGGGCAGGGAAGTCAGCAAGCTTCCCCCAGGAGCAGCCAGCCGCTTGGAGCAGCCTGGGGCTTCCTGCCTGAGGGTCCCAGCGAGGCATCTTGCCCACCCCGACTAGCCCACAGATACGCGTACTCACATGGAAACGTCAGGGGTTAGCGAACCACAGAGCCAGCGAGTCCGTGTCGGTAACAGTGAAAGCTCAGTTGTAAATCCCCAAGCCCCTTCTCTGGGCAAATAAGGAAATCAACTTTATTTCAAGCAGATCCTCAGTTCTCGGCTTCTCTGTCGGTTTCACAATAGAGCAGCAAATTCCTGGCGGGGGTGTGTCACGGATCCCATGCTTCAAACAACAGGTCACGCTGCTTGAGCGCTGGCACCCGCAAGAGGAGGATCGCACACCAGGGCTCCTTGGGAGCCGTGTGCTTGGGCAGCCACCCAGGAGAGATTCAGGTGCCACCCAGCTGATTAGCAGAGCGCCCACAGCCGGCAGCAGGTGTTTCTACTGATGGTGCACATCTGCACATGCCTTGGTGCACAGAACAAATCTTATTCTGCTCATGGATGGAAAAAGTTAGAGGGAACATTGTCAGACAGTCCAAACCAGGACTGGACACTGCAAGAGGCTCTCTCATGAGATTCGAAGCCCTGCTTGGCAAAGAGGAGAAATTCATCTTAAGCAACCAAACTTGCAAGTGCTTATTCATCTCCAACTTAGCCCACCATTAACCCTCTTGGTTACTGCTTCCCAAGCTGGCGTGGGCTACAGAGATGCAGGTATATTGTGAAGCAATTAATCCCTTAAAAAATCCCCCATGCATCAGATTACAGCATCCCTATGAGTCGAAAGGTCTGCGCTATGCAGACCCAGCAGTAATTGGTAGACGGCACCGGCTTTCTTTCTGCGGTGACAGAAGAAAGTGCGGCTTTCGCAGCCTTTTCATGCCTCTGCTATAGAGGGACGATGCAATTATCTTGGCAACCGCATTACGATACTGCAAAAAATAGAATCGGAGATGGAAGTGGCTGACAGATGGAAAATTACCTGTGCATCACTGGGCTTTGTTAGCTCCTTCATTCAGGGCCTCGCCACACTTACCTCGCTGGAGCACCAGCCGCTTCCCCAAATGGTGCTTTATTGACTTGCTCCCCACCCACAGAGCGAGGCAGGGCTGACTCCTGCCATTCGCATTCAGGGGCTGCTGTTATTAAGAGTGAGATTTGCCCGGCGTTGCTCAGGTCCTTCACTCAATTCTTTTGGGGTTGGGTTTTTTAAAGGGAAAAAAAAGGAGGAAATATCCAGGCTCCATTGAAATCATTGCTCTGGGGCAGGGCTGGGGTGGAGGGTTCAAGCGCAGGCTAGCCCCGGCCCTCTCCCCCCGCAGCAGCTTGGGGACAGGCGAGAAGCGCTGTGCCGGGCAAGATGCACCGGGCTCGTTCTGCCTCTGCGAATGAGCTACGGCCCTGGGGGGGGCTTCCCGCTGGCCCACCTGCCGGGTTTCCGTCCCCAGTTGGATGCAACTGTTTAACTAGCGATGAATGGCAGCCCAGAGTAGGCAGAGCCAGCCCCGGCTGC